CGTGGGAAGCCAAGCTGTCTCCCAAAAGTGCGGCAACCAGGTCCAGTTTTCCAGAAACTGAATCGGTGCAAACGTTGTTCGGGGGTAAAGCCTCATCCTCTTCCCTAGCACCCCGCACGGCTTCGTATACCCTCCAGAACTCTTTAGAACATTGTGACAACCCCTAGCCGCCCCAAACCCGCTCCTCCTTCTGCTGCTGCTAAGACTCCTCCTCCTTCTCCTCCCACCCCTCCTCATACCCCTCCTCCTCCTCCTCCTCCTCCTCCTCCTCCTCCTCCCCCGCTTCCAAGCAATCAAGTCGCGACCGCGAGTTGAGCTCGTTATCTCGGATTTGCTTTGCCTCGTGAAGGAATACGCTGGCGCCCAAGCGACATACGCTGACATATGGCTGACGCCCAGGCGACATTTCGCACCAGCAGGCTGACGCCCAGGCGATATCCGCTGTCATATGGCGTGCGATTCTGGGCAGGCTTCCTGTTGGCGGCGCGGGTCGCCCCTTCTTCTACTCGTGCCTCAGCGCGCCTGCTGGTCGAGCAGAATGTTGGGTCGACGACGGATGACATCCAGTGGGAGTTTGTTTTTTTGGCAATCCTTGGGCCGACCAATTTTCCTCGATGCGCCACGCGTTCCCAGAGGCCTTGGCGAAGAGTTTCGGGGCAAAGCTTCCTTCTTCAGGATGGATGTCTGGTGTGTCTCTTGGGCAGTGTCTCAGGTGGCTGCCAGGGACGCTCGTAGTAACATGCCAGAGAGGCTGCGGAAGGGCGCGTCGCTTCAGGTTCCTGAATTGGATCTGATTGTCGTGAGGTGGTGGTGAGAGGTCGTGGGCACTATCAGTGTAAGCACTGCCTGTCCGCTGCTCGGACCCCTCGCAGTCTTCAGAAGCTGCTGGCTGGATCCAATATCTGCAGTGTGTGCAGGAGAAGCTGCGCTTGAGTTTGCTAACGATGTCGCGCCTGATGGGTCGCGGTTCCTGCGACGGTGCCTCCTGTTGAAAACCTTGTCGTGCGAGCTCCACGGGCGCGTGGTCCTCATGGGCCGGGGGGCTTTGCGGTGTTTCCTCTGTCGCCCAGGGGCGCGGTGGTCATTCGCGGCTGCCCGCTGCAGGCACGGGGCCGTCCGAGAAGCACTTCGCCAGAGCCCGCTAGCGTACGAGCACCGCTGCCATCGGGGCGAGGAATCGCCCCAACAGTGAGAAGCCCTTGGCGGGGGCAGGCTGGGTGTTGCTCTGTGCCTGGGCGCTTGCCTTCGGCATGCCCCGCTCTGGCTCGCGGGCCTGCTCGGTGCAGGCAGGCGTGGGCCGAGCGGTGCGCACGGTGTTGCCAGCGCTCCTGTCCCCGGCTGCACGGCTCACGCCGCACGCGGGTGCTCCTCTTCCCCTCGCCTGGTCGTGGTGGTGGTGGTCGTCGTCGTCGTCGTCGTCGTGGTCGTCGTCGTGGTCGTCGTCGTCGTCGTTGTCGTCGTCGTCGGGGTTGTCGTGGTCGTCGTGGTCGTCGTCGTCGTCGTCGTGGTCGTCGTCAGCGTCGTCGTCGTCGTCGTCGTCGTCGCCGTCGTCGTCGTCGTCGTGGTGGTCGTCGTCGTCGTCGTCGTCGTCGTCGTCGTCGTAGTCGTCGTCGTCGTGGTCGTCGCCGCCCCCCAGGGGGCCCAGGCGCCGACGAGGGCCTCCCCGTGGGCTTCGGCGTGGCGAAGACGAAGGCGCCGAGGCCCAGGGGCAACCTCGACGTGGGCAGCGCGCGAGGCACGCGGCCCGGAAGGAGGAGGAGGAGGAGGAGGAGGAGGAGGGGGAGGAGGAGGAGGAGGAGGGGAGGAGGAGGAGGGGGAGGAGGAGGAGGAGGAGGAGGGGAGGAGGAGGAGGAGGAGGAGGAGGAGGAGGAGGAGGAGGAGGAGGAGGAAGGAGGAGGAGAAGGCAGGAAGCGTGGGGGAGGGGCATCATGGCAGTGAGGAAAAAAAAAAAATGAGGAGGCGAGGAGGAGGATGGGTGGGGAGGAGGGGGGGAGGAGGAGGAGGGGGAGGAGGAGGAGGAGGAGGAGGAGGAGGAGGAGGAGGAGGAGGATGCTGCTCCCTCCTCGCCCTCGCCCTCTTCCTCCTCGTCTTTGTCGTCCTCGACCCCGTCCTCGCCGCCGCCATCGCCGCCGTCGCCGCTGTCGCTGCGATCTTCGCCCTCGCCCTCGCCCTCGCCCTCGCCTGCGACCTCGTCGCCGCCGCCGCCGTCTCCGCCGTCGTCGCCGTCGCAGTGCCCTTCTTCGCTGTCTCCGTTGCCTTCGTCACCGTCGCCGTCCCCGTTGCCAGCGTCGTCGTCTCCGTCGTCGTCCTCGCTTTCGTCGTCGCGGTCGTCGTCTGCGTCCTTGTCGCCGAGGCCTCCCGCCAGCGTCGCCAGCAGCGGCGATCAGCGCTGCCAGTCGAGGTCAGACGTCCCAGGCGAGCTCGACCAGCCGAGTCGAGATGGACCCGCGCGGGCCAGCTCGACCAGCGCGGGACAATGTCCAGAGGGGGGGGTCGACGAAGCCGACGACGACGAGGGAGGACATCGACGTCTTGGGCATCCCTGGGCCTCCTGGGCGGCGCTCGTCGCCGCGGCCCGGCGCGGCTCGACGAGCCGGCGAGGCTGGGGCCGGGAGGCTTCCGAGGGGCCGGTTTTGCGCGGGCGCGGGCGGGGAGCAGGGCGGCGGGGGCGGCCTTCCCCGAGGGGGCAGTGGGCGTATCAGAAGGGATCGCCTCGTTGGCTTCCGGGAGGCTTCTGCGGAGGGGCAGGGCCCCTTCTCGAGGTGGCAGGGCCCTTCGGAGAGCCAGGGCTGCAGGGGCCTGCCGGCCGCCATGTGGTGGAGCATACCATTTTGGATGATGATGATGATGATGATGATGATGATGATGATGATGATGATGATGATGATGATGATGATGATGATGATGATGATGGTGCTGGTGGTAGTGGTGGTGGTGGTGATGATGACGACGATCGATGATGATGATGATGATGATGATGATGATGATGATGATGATGATGATGATGATGATGATGATGATGCTGATGATGATGATGATGATGATGATGATGATGATGATGGTGGTGGTGGTGGTGGTGGTGGTGGTGATGATGCTGCTGATGATGATGATGCTGATGGGGATGATTATGATGATGAGGAGGAGGTGGAGGAGGAGAAGGAGGATGAGTCTGCGGTGGAGGAGGAGGAGGAGGACGAGGGAGGAGGAGGAGGAGGAGGACGAGGAGGAGGAGGAGGAGGATGAGGAAAAATGCCTAAGCTGCATCAGCGATGCTGCAGCATGCCCACCCGGCCCCCCGGCTCCCAATGTCCTTTCGCTGCAGTTCAAGCGAGAGCCTCGTTTTGAAGAGGAGCTGCCACCCCAGACCCCCTCGCATTGTGAAACAATCACGACGGGAGGTCCGTTATCTTCGGCCTCCAGGGGGCCTCACCAGGCCTCGGGACCGTCAAGATAAGGACGCAGGACGAGAAACCGGTCCTGGGGAATGGGTCGAGACGTTATGGAACAAATCATGACGTCAGGGGTCTGGGACCGCTGATGATAATCGACGAGATCGGATCATACAGGCTTAAGTCGGGCCTGTTCCTCAACATGAGGAATTTGCAAAGATGGCTTCCGATAATCGGGGATATGTTTTTGGGAGTACTTGCGCATTTTAGAGCATTTTTTTGTTATCTGTTTGTTTTGTGTAGATATTTTTGTCGACCTAAACGTTTGGTGGCTATTTTTGGTGGATATTCTTGGTGTTTTTTTCCCGACCCAAATATTTGGTTGTTTGTTTTTTTGTGTGGATATTTTTCGCCCGAATCCCCCTGCGGGAGGACACGCCCGAGCTAAATATATAGGCCAACACAGCGTCCCGCGAGAGCCCCCGCTGGGACCGAGAGCCGCCCTCGGTGCGCGCGGTATTTTTCCAGGGTCCAGCGTGGGGTCTCACATCGGGCGTGTTGCCCCTCTACAGGAGGAGTAGTCAATCATAGTCAACACATCGTCTGGGGACGATTTTTTTCTCCCTTCTTCTTCTTCTTCTCCTTCTCCTTCTCCTTCTTCTTCCTCTTCTCCTCCTCCTTCTCCTTTTCCTTCTCCTTCTCCTTCTCCTTCTCCTTCTCCTTCTCCTTCTTATTCTTATTATTATTCTTCTTCTCCTCCTTCTTCTTCTTATATCTGTCTATGAACATATGATGTATTTCTAAGGTTTCGCCCAACATCCCCCTGTAGGGGGACGTGCCCGACCTGAGTCTGGTCATACAGCGTAAGGGTGTAAAGCGATAGCCCCGATCTGAAAAGGTGCCGCCCCAGATGCGTGTAGCGCTTGCACCGTGTTGGACTTCTGCTCGTTCGGAGTGAGGAGGCTTCGAACGAATGTCCAGTTCCGAGCAAGAGGCGCCCTGTTTCCGCATACTTGTCGGAAGCTTTCAGGGCGAATGCGCGCGGCGCGGAGGCGAGAGCCACACTTTGGAACGTAATCGCCCTCGGATGAGGAGGAGTACAGTCAAAAACCCTGATAGGACGCGCGACTTTGCTCAGGGTACCCTTGCGTCCTTGCTTTTCCTTGCTCTTGCGTCCTTGAGGTTTTCGTCGTCCGCCGCCCCAAAATTCCCAACTTCGGCCTCCAAGGGCCTTGCGTTCTTACCGCGCGTCCTTATTAGGGTTTTTGACTGCAGGCTGGGGAGGAAGAGGGGGAGGAGGAGAGTGAGGACGGGAGGGAGGATCATGGGTGCGACGCGTCCCGCCGTCGGAGGCCGGGGTGCGTGCACAGGGTGGGGGCCCGACGGAGATAGGCGCCCTGGCCGAAACAAGCAGGATCATCACGCCCAGGTCCGGTGATCGTTTTCTTATCCGTCGTTTTGCCGATCGGCGCAGGCCCTGGCCCCCCCTCCTCCTCCTCCTCTCACCTCTCCTCCTCCTCTATCCTCCTCCTCCTCCTCCTCCTCTCCTCCTCCTCCTCCTCCTCCTCCTCCCCTCCTCCTCCTCCTCCCCCTCCCCCTCCCCATCTCTCCCCCTCCCCCCCCTCCCTCCCCCCTCCCCCCCCCTTTCGCTCCATGCGGAAACGCCGAGCAAGGAAAACGTTCGCCAGGTCGGGGGCGACCGTGCACTTGGCATCGCTCGGACGTGTGCATCTGTCCTCGGCGAGGACCATCGAGGAGCATCCTTGATCATTTGGCGAAAAAGCCACGCACGAAACCGACCAAAACCACAGGGAATGGACGTCCGAGCGATGGCCAGGTGCAGGTGCGAAGCCTCGGGCGCGGCCCGCTCGCCGGAGAGCGGGTGCGGTCCTCGCCCTTGCCTTTTGCTCCCGGCTCCGCCCGCGCAGTCGGGCGGCCCCGCGCGTCGGTCTTCGGAGTCCTCGGGCCGTCCCGCCGGGCGCGGTCCCCTTCCAGGCACCAGGCGACAGGCGTCCAGGGCCAGCAGGAGCTCCCAGCGGCGTCCTGGCACGAACCTCGGAGCGCTCTTGTCACGCGCCTGGAAGGGCCAGCGGCGGCGCGGGAGGCAGAGGGGACACGCCCTGGCCAGCTGTAGATACGCTCCTCTTCTGAGGTTTGACGAGACAATCCCTTGTGCGCAAGGTCGCCTCGAGGGGGAAACGAAGGGAGGGGTGGAGGAGAAAGGGGCAGGGGGAATGAAGAGGGTGACGATTCGAAGGGGGACGGGGATGGGGAAAATGGTGGAGATGGTGGGGGCGGGGACGTTGAACGTAGGGTGGTGGTGGCGTAGGGGTGTGTGAAGATGCAGAGTGACGGTTACGAAGATGGTTTTGCTGGTGAGTTAATCTAACGGTGGAGGGAACGGAGGATAACGAGGAGGAGGAGGAGGAGGAGGAGGAGGAGGAGGAGGAGGAGGAGGAGGAGGAGGAAGAGAGCTGCGTCTGACAGATTCTTGTGCCTTCAGCTACCCAGCTATTCAGGACGAGGAGGAGGAGGGTGGACGGGCATGTAGAGGTGGAATGGGGGAGGGATGATGGACATGTATGGTGGTGGTGGTGTTGTTGTTGGTGGTGGTGGTGATGGAGATGGTGACGGGATGGTGATGTACGCAGTTGTGTTGTTGATGATGCTGGTGATGCTGCTGCTGATGATGATGGTGGTGGTGGTGGTGGCGGTGACGATGATGACAATGACGATGATTACGATGACGATGGTGATGAAGAAGAAGCTGCAGCTGAAGATGATGATACTGCTGCTGCTGATGGTGATGATGATGCTGATGTTGATGATTACGCTGATGATGGCGATGATGGTGCTGCTGATGATGCTGCTGATGATGATGCTGATGCTACTGATGACGATACTGCTGCTGCTGCTGCGGCTGATGATGACGATGCTGATGCTTCTGACGATGATGCTGCTGCTGATGATGATGCTGATACTTTCTTATGATGAGGATGATGATGACGATGACGATGCGGCTGCTGATGATGATGCTGATGACGATGATGATGCTGATGATAATGGTGATACTGCTGATGATGCTTATGATGATATTAATGATGATGCTGATGATGAAGCTGATGCTGATGTTACTGCTGCTGCTTGTGCGGCTGATGATGACGATGGTGATGATGATGCTGCTGATGATGATGCTGATGATGCTGATGCTGATGATGATGCTGCTGATGATGATGATGACGATGACGATGGTGATGTTGCTGACGATACTGACGATGATGGCATTGTGGGTGTTATTGTGGCTTTTCTTGTTGTTTTAGTTTTTGCTGTTGTTGTTATGGTTGTTGTGGTTGTTGCTGTTGTTGTTGGTGATGGTGATGAGGATGGAGATGAGCAGGATAAGGATTTATATATATATATATATATATATAAATACTGTGTGCGACATAGGTTGTTGCTGCATGTGCTGCTGTCGATGGTGACTATGATGATGAATACTGGGGGATGTGGGGACGAGGTGGTGGCGGTGGTGAAGGACGGGGGTGATGTGGAGGCGGACGACGGGGACAAGGAGATGGAGGTGCAGGGGCAGGGGGATGTGGATGTGAAGGTGGATGGGGAGTTTGTGAGGGACGAGGAGGAGGAGGAGGAGGAGGAGGAGGAGGAGGAGGAGGAGGAGGAGGAGGAGGAAGAAGGCCCCATCGTAGGATTCAGGTTTGGTCAACGTAAAAAGGAGGAGTAGGAGGAAGTAGGGCTCAGGAGGGAGTGAAGGAGGCGGATGAGGATGAGGCGGAGTAGGAGGGAGCAGGATGACAGAAAGGGGGGCACACGAGAAGGGCGAAGACCATGGATTGTGGATAGCGGCCTGGAAGGAGGGTCGGTGCCACGTGCTTGGTGCCTGTATCGGTGCTGCAGGTGCGAAGCTCGAGGGGACCGGGACCCGCAGATCCCGCCGTCACAGAACACGTGCAGGCAGCAGTTCTGGTCATCGCTGCAGGCCCCCGGAGGTCGGCGCCAGGCGCCGGGATCGCCAGAAGACGGCTCCGTATACGGAAGACGGGTCCCCGGGAGAGGGGTCCAGAGCCCCGGGGGTGGGGGAAGGCCTCCTCCTCCTCCTCCTCCTCCTCCTCCTCCCTGGAGGTCCCGCGCGAGGCCAAGGCGTCCAACAACCTCGGACCTGGAGTCCTCGAGCCCCGATCCTCGATTCTCGTGCCCTCGGTGGGGGGTCGGGAGGGGGGCGGTGGACCCTGATCTCTACTTTGCCAACTCAGGGCTCCCCGTGAGCGGGCTGCATGGCGCCTCCTCCTGCTCCTGCTCCTGTCCCTTCTTCTCTTCCTCCTCCTTCCTCTCCTTCTTTCTCCTCCCTCTTTCTCCTCCTCCTCTTCTTGTTCCTCCTCTCGCTCCTCCCCTCGCTCCTCCTCTCGCTCCTCCTCTCGCTCCTCCTCTCGCTCCTCGCTCCTCGCTCCTCGCTCCTCGCCTCTCCTCTCCTCTCCTCTCCTCTCCTCTCCTCTCCTCTCCTCTCTCCTCTCCTCTCCTCTCCTCTCCTCTCCTCTCCTCTCCTCTCCTCTCCTCCTCTCCTCCTCCTCCTCCTCCTCCTCATCCTCCTCCTCCACCTCCAGCTCCTCCTCCTCCTCTTTTCCTTCTCCTTGTGAACAGCTCCTCGCTGTCGCACCTCGAGGCGTGTCGGTAGTGCGGGCCAGGAGTTGCGCGCGAGACTTCCTTGCCATTTACGACTCTTAGGCTTGACATTTACAACGTTTCCACAGATGGAGGTGGGGTTGCTGTCCAAATGTGGCTCTCGCCGTAGCGCCGCGCAAACTCGCTTTGAGACGTTGCAAGAGTTTCACGGACGGAGGGCGGTTCTTAAAAAAAATGGGGCTCTCGCCGTAGCGCCGCGTACGTTTGAACACACAAAACTGCAGAGTTTCACGGATGGAGGGCGGCTTCTTTTCAAAATGTGGTTCTCGTCTTAATGCCGCACATTCGTTTAAAGAGTTTACAAGAGCCAGTTCTTTTATTTTGGGGCGATAACGTGCGTCACCTGGGGGGGTTTGGAAGGGGACCGGTTACCCGTTTCGTGCCGACGGCGTTTGGGAATGCCTCGGAGTGACGGAGGCCGGGTAGGAGCAGCATGTAGGTGGCGATCTGCACCATAGCGCCTGTGTAAACCACAGTGCTTGCGTGCACAGCGCCTATGTACACCACAGCAGCCGCGTGCAACACAGCACCAGTGTGCACCACAGTGCCTGCGTGCACCAGAGCGCTTGTGTACACCTCAGCGCCTGCGTACACCACAGCAGCCGTGTGCAATACAGCACTGGTGTACACCACAGCGCCTGCGTGCACCACAGCGCCTGTGTACACCACGGCGCCTTTGTGCACCACAGCAACCGTGTGCAACATAACATCATTGTTGTAGACAGAAGTTGAGAAAATCCTTATGTCAAAATGGAGCGCCTGTGGATTCTACAGAAAGCAGATTTTATATACAGGAATTGGAAAGGAATTCTTGTGAAAGAAGGAGCGCCTCTGCTGGAATCTACGAGGTCTCCCGAGTCCTCCCGCATCATCCTAACTCCTGCCATCTGCGTCCAGAAGGCTCCCGCCGAGTTGGCCGTCCGAGAACCAAGTGGATTGCTTCAATCGACAAATTTTCCAGGATGCGCAGTTAGATGTGCACGTGCGTTGTTTCGCCGATCCGCGCGACGGGGGGAAGGGTGAGGAAGGAGGAGGAGGAGGAGTAGGAGGAGGAGGAGGAGGAGGAGGAGGGAGAAAAGGGATATAATCACAATCTATTATCAACGTTCTCCGTACGTGATGTTTAGCTGTCCGCAGCAGATCCTCACCTAAGTGCTACGCGCTGCGGTGCACGTCAGCATTGTGGTGTACACAAGCGCTGTGTTGCAGACGGCTGATGCGGTGTGCACATTTGCTGTGGTGTACACAGGCGTTTTGGTGCACGCAAGCACTGTGGTGTACACAGGCGCTGCGTTGCACACGGCTGTTGCGGTGTACGCAGGCGCTGTGTTGTACACGCGCGCTGTCGTACACGCGAGCACTGTGGTATACAGAAGCGCTGTGGTGCAGATCGCCGCCTAAATGCTGCTCCTCCTTTCGATCACCCGTAGGCATTCCTGGGCGCCGCCGGCGCGGAGCGTGACGTCACTGGGGGAGGGAGGGGGCGCGGGGCCAGTGACGGCCGCCATCGCGGAAGATTAGCAGAACAGGCTTCAACAATCTCAAGGATTTCCGCCAACGTCTCAGGAATGGTGCTTTGGCACGGTGTCGGATTGTTAGGATTCAGCAATTACGCTGGTTCGCGGTGTTGAAGTCCCAGGAGCGGTCCTCATGCACGATTCAAGATTGGCGAGACGCAGCGGTGATTCGCGGCGTTGAAGTCCCAATAATGATTTTCCGGCACGGTTCAGGATTTTCGAACGGTTGTCTTCCAGCGGGGCACTTCCGTCAGTGAAAGGAAATCCTTGTAGGGGCCTGTGAGGCAGGAGCTTGGAGGGAGGGTCTGTTGCAATATTGTTGATGGGTCTTGGGTTTACCCTGGTCATCCTCCTCCTCCTCCTCCTCCTCCTCCTCCTCCTCCTCCTCCTCCCCTACCACCCACGTGCTTGACCGCCCGCGCTCCACCCGGCGCCGCCCCCCGGACCCCCCCTCCCCCCCACCCTCTCGCCGCCTCCCCCGCCCGAGGCTCGAGGCCCAGGCGTGTGCATGGGCGCTCCAGCGCCCCTGAGTGGCCCAGGCGTCGAGTGAGGCTGCGGTATAGGTCCGCGTCGTGTGCACCGGCGGCGATTCCGCCGCCGGCGCTCCGCGTCGAACGCCGCTGGCGACCCAGAATCGGTCGAGGATGGAGGATCGGACGCTCGAGGAACGGCCCCTCGGTCCAGGTCGAGCGATCCTGGCGGTGTCAGAAAGCAGCGCCGAAGTCGACACGACGAGCACCTGCCGCAGCGAGAGCACGTCTTTCCGATCTCGTGGCGTGTCGCAGTGACTTCGCCCCGTCCCGCGGGACTCGGAGGGAAGCCGCGTGAGACACCGGCGGTGAAACAACGGCGGCCCAAATCCATTCCAAATCGGTGCCCAGAACTCTCCTGGGGTCCAAGCGCACCAGTTTTTCGAGCTGCGTCCAGCCGTGGCGACGAGCGGGCCCGCCGAGGTCCAAGAATGCGGCCTTTGTCTCAACGCGTCCTGGCGGCGCACACAAAGGGGGGTATAGGGGGAGGGGGGGGAATGCTTCTTAGAAGCCCACCTGCTTCTTAGAAGGCGCGAGCCTCATCTCTAGATGTAGGGCTGGCGCCTTCTGAAGAGCAGCCTCCTTTGAAAAAGCCTTCCCCCTCCCCCTACTCTTTTCATGGTGCCAACATCGCAGAGCGGATTTCGTCCGGAAAACGATAGGATGGGCCCGGAGTGTCCTGGGGAATTTCGTTCCGGATTTCGAGGTGAATTTCGTGCGGATTTTTTTGGGCCAGGACTGAAGACCAAAAACAATCCACGCGAAATTCAGTTCGTTTTTCGCTCGCCTCTTCAGGTGTTTTGCATTCACAGAATCCACGCAGAAATCTGCTGCAGCACGTCTGCAAGGTCGGTGCAGTGATTCTTAGAAGGCGCAAGCCTTATCTGTAGATGTAAGGCTGTCGCCTTCTATGAAGCAGCCTCCTTTTGAAAAGCCTTCCCCCTCCCCCTAGTTCCTTGTGCGCGCCGCCAGCCTCCTCCGGAAGGCAGCACCGATCGCTGCCTGGGGGGGCCCAGGTCACCGCGCAGCCGAAGCAGCGGCTGCACAGCGAGTCCTCGGCCGGCGCCGCCTCGGGATCGCCCCCCGCAGCGCCTCGGCCATGCCGCCGCCGCAGCCGTGCGCCGCCGTCTTCGTCGTCGTCGTCGTCGTCGTTATCGTCGTCGTTGTCGTCGTCGTCGTCGTCGTCGTCGTCGTCGTCGCCGTCGCCGCCGCCGCCGCCGCCGCCGCCGCCGCCGCCGCCGCCTCCGTCGCCTCCATCGCCGCTTCCGTCGCCTCCGTCGCCGTCGCTGGCGATCCTCGTGCCTCGGACCTCGCACGGCGACAACGACGGCACTCGGATCTGGAATCGCACGCCTCGAAACTCGACCGACGGTGGAGGCGACAACGGCGACGCCGCTGTCGCCGTCCGCGTCGCCGTCGCAAGCATTTCCGTTGCCGTTGACGTCGCCGTCGCCGTCGCCGCCGCCGCCGCCGGCGTCGTCGTCGTTGTCGTCGTCGTCGTCGCCGTCGTCCGAGGTTCGAGGTTCCAGGTTCGAGGTTTGAGGGTCGAGGATCGAAATTTCTGGGCCTATTTCATTTGAGTCCCCTCGGTCGCTGAAGGGCACCACTCCCGGGCGTTCCTCGCCCAGAGCTCTAGGCGTCGTCGCAGCGAAGTCACGGCAGAGGTCTCGTTCCTTTTTTCCTCCGCGGCTCCTCAAGTCCCAGCAGGCCGCCTCTGGGTCTCCTTGGCGGCACGCGCAGGGGAGCAGGGGAGGAGGGAAGGCTTCTCAGAAGGAGGCTGCTTCTTAGAAGGCACCGGCTCTACATCTGTAGGCAACCCATCGTCCGCCACAAATATAGATTCACACCATCCCAGTTATGCTTGAGCTCGGCTCCCCCCTCATCCTTTTCAGAAGTACTATGCGCGCTCACTCGTTTATCAAATATTACAAATTCTCAAGAATCCCTTGCAAAAAAAACGGGACGAAGTGCACACGCGCGCGTCGTCGCGCGCGGATGCAGAAATCTTTCAAACCTTTACTTGTCTCAAGGGTTTCAAAATCGAGTGTGCTAAAGCATTTAAACAACACACCTATGGTTTTCACAACAGGGATTTGCAAACAAAAACCTTCGACCGTTCTCTTGCGAACTCTTGAGAAAACCATCGGCTCATCGACAATCTCATATAATGCTACCAAATTGGCCTTTCGCGCGCGCGTGTCGAAATCGCTCGAACGCTCTAGCGCGCGTGCTGTCGCAATAATCCCTTGCAACACATGGGACGGAGTGCACACGCGCGCGTCGTCGCGCGCGCATACCGACGTCCTTCAAAAACCTTAGGCTTCGCAATGATTCAGAATCGGGTGTCCCGAACACATCTTTTTCAT